GATATGCTGACTCTGTAAACCGCTTAGAGAGGGCTGAAAGCCCTATGAAGCGGTATATAAGTCTAACTGCTATTGCTATTGCTATTGCTATTCAGCCTTCTTTTTCTTTTTCCGATTGACAGTTCACGACATTTTGAATCCTATCCTGATCTCCAAGGATCTCCTTTCATGAAAACCCACCCTTTGGATACCTTTCCTGCTCGAGAACGGCGCCAATCTTCGCGGCGCTGAAGGAAAAAAAAAAACTATGATCCATGGACCGAAAGATGGACTCGTTGCTCCTAGTCGAGCCTTCGGTCCACGGAGAAGGAAGAGGAGCAAGTCAACATCTGGACGAGGCTCCGAGGAGGCTGCGCCGAGCAGGAGGCGGGAAAGCAGGAGCTGGGAAGACAGACATGGGGACGGTCTCAGCAGGAGGAGGTCTCTAGGAATCCCCCCACCCCACTCCAAAAAGATCAGGGAACAAATGGCTGAGCAGGCTAGCTGGATTCCTCCCTGCCAGTAAGCCAGATCTTCCTCCTCATCCCTTCTCTCTCTCATCTGAGGCTCCAGGATCTCACAAGGATAATTCAACACACCGAAGGATCTTCTACGTTGGGGAAAAATATATAGGGAAATCCCAGAACTCTTCGACTTGCAAATACTGTAGTATTTGTGGGGAAATACACGAGGATTGTATGCCACAAATGTATTGGATCATGTTCCGTTCTACAAAGCATAGTTCTTTCCCATGCTCGAATAGGGTTAGTTTTGAAAGACATTTAAGAGCGACAGAAAAAATGTTATTTATATTTTAAATATAACGCGAAGGCCTAGCCGTCCTGTTCCAAAATTATACATTTTTATTTCTACTTCCTCATTCCAGTTTCGGGGAGGGGTGGGGGAAATAATATTCTGGGTCACATCAGAATGAGCGGCGACCACGAGTGAAACGGATATTAAATCTTCATCTTTTACACCGATTCCTAAAAAAAGAAATAATCCTAGCGTTTGATTTTATAGTCGAATTCGGGCAAAGGAAAAGGCCTGGATTGAATTTGGAATTCGGGCACCAAATTGAATTGTGGGAATATCAGAAGAGACTCGATTGTTGGGGATGGATATGGTGACACACCTTACTACTCAGGGCGGCTGGGAGAGTTCGCGNTGCTCTTCTCTGAACGTTTTCCAAAGTCTCAACATCTTTTTTGCAATGTGGTGACCAAAACTAGACACAGGATTCCAGGCGTGACCTTACTAAGGACTTATAAAGCGGTTCTGATACTTCACGAGATTTTGATTCAATGCCTCGGTTTATACAACCAAGGATCGTATTAGCTTTTTGGGCTGCTGCTACACACAGCTGGCTCATGTTTAAGGGATCGTCCACCAGGTCTCCAAAATCTCTCGCTCCTTCTGTCTACAATTTCCCAAGCTTTTCTCCTTATTTTTATTCTTCTGTGTTACCTCAGACTGTTATTAAGCAGGATGCGATGGGCCGCGTATCCACCCTTGAATTATTTTGATATCATGATCAGAGGTGGTATTCTACCGAATCGGACCAGTTCACTTTAACTGGTAGTGGAAATCGCGGGTGGGCTGTGCCCCCCTCCCCTGGTTCCTATTTAGGGATGTTTTTTTGAGCAAAGCACATGTGGGGACAAGCCAGACATTTGCGAATGGGTATGGAAGGTATGGGACATGATGGCTCAGGGGCTAAGACGCTGAGCTTGTTGATCAGAAAGGTCGGCAGTTGGCGGTTCGAATCCCTAGTGCTGCATAACGGAGTGAGCTCCTGTGACCTATCCCAGCTTCTAACCAAACTAGCAGTTCAAAAGCACGTAAAAAATGCAAGTAGAAAAATAGGAGCCACCTTTGGTGGGAAGGGAACAGCGCTCCATGCGCCTTTGGCATTTAGTCATGCCAGCCACATGGCCACTGAGATGTCTTTGGACAGCGGTGTCTCTTCGGCTTTGAAATGTCTCACCTACCAAAATCCTCATTCTCTTTTAACAACCCCATAATCCCTTCTGGGGTATAGTCCGGGCGACTGAATGGAGCTAGTAGAGAATTTTTTTTTTTTACTGGCCAGATGCCTTTCCCTGTCGCCAATGCGGAGTTTTGTTCAGCAGATAAATTCTCAAGTGTGCCCAGAGAGAGAAATATCTGCCTCTAACTAGGATTGAACTCACAGCCGAGGAGGCACAGTGGTTAAATGCAGCACTGCAGGCTACTTCAGCTGACTGCAGTTCTGCAGTTCGGC